TCTTCAGTTGTAGGTGGCTGCTGCCTCGTGAGGGGGTGCTGCTGGCCTCTGCCACATGCGTGGCCTTGTGCCCGCGTTGCCCGCTCCCCCATCAGATAATCAGGCAGCCTGTGGGCTGGGTAGCTGCTGCTACATGGGAATGGCGAGACTTGAACCCCCAGCATCCCCTGGTGGTCTTGGGCAGAGGCAGCCACTGTCTCATGGGCGCCTCCGGCTTATTGGGCTTTAGTTGACCTGGGCCCTGCCGTGCACATGGTCTTAGACCTGGGCCACCACCTCCCTGCTTCTGCAGGCGAGGGGGGGGGGTAGTTCAACTTGTCTTCCCAGTCTCCTTCTATGGCGGCTTTGGGGCAGAAGGGAAGCTTGCAATGCCCAGCCACTTCATGTTTTTACCCTGGGGCCTGGGCTCACAACATTGGCATGAGGAGTGGGCTGGGGAGCATCTGCCCAGCCCAGCACAGTACTGCTGGCTCTCCAGTCCATCCATGTGGGTTTTCCTCTGCACTCCCCCCCAGCCCATGGGGCCTTGCCGTGAGGACACACCAAGTCAGAGATTACCACCTGCTGTCCTTTATAAAGTTTGTATCTCCGGTGCCGGGCATTACATTTTATGGCACACATGGCCCAGCCTAAGTCGACACCTCTGCTTTAAACCAAGAACCACTACTGGGCATCACTCCTCTCCACTGCACCATCTACACAATATAAAGAGTGACGGGAGTTATGCACCTCCCATGAACACATCAGCTCTTTTCCATTCGCAACCACAGCACACAAAGAGGGTCAGCTGTAGCGCTCCCCCTTGCTGTTTGCACGTCTGAAAGCCGCCTGAAGGGGCCACTACCGGCTGTGTTGTGTGAGTTTTACAATGGAGACAAAGACAGCTCCTGGGGCAGTTTGCAGATGCAAACAGTGCTGGGGAGAGGCTACAGCCTCCTCTTCCTGTGTGCTGTGATCACAAAACAAAAAAATCCATCTCAGAGGCACAAAGCTTCTGTAGTCCTTGTGATAAAAAGTTCTCATGTTGTTTCCCAACAAACTCAAGTCCTTTGTAACATGCACTCCATACCATACAGAGTTGCTAATACCAACTGACACAAATACAGTCTCTCCATCAGTTGTATATCACTGCTTTTTCCTTGCTTGTTCATTATCCAAAATACACACGTACGCTATTTGATTGTGAAGACCTTCTGAAAGCGCACTCACTGTGATTTGGCAAGACAAACTATTTTCTCAGCAGGGTTTGCAGCAAAAGCCAACTGTGCACAGCCCTAATTGGCTGGCCCCTGTGACAGCACAAATCCACCTCCCCCCACACATCCACAAAGCGCTCTTGCAACTGATAAAAAATGAGTGTACATTAAATAAGAATATGATGAATTAATATTTAATTAAATGTGTGCCTATATGGTATATTAAAAGGCATATAGCCTACATGATGCATGGGGAGAGAGACAAGATTGATAACTTAATCAGTGTTAGGAACATTTATGTGTCCTTCTTTGCATTGCAAAGCTAAGAAATAAGCAGGCTCAGCCCAGAGAAGAAAATACGCACAGACTTATTTCAGTGCTAAATCTGTTTGCAGTCTAAGAAATAACAGGTCCTGACAGACCTACTTTATACTTGCTCATTTCTCTGCCTAACAGCTCCTCCCTTAGAACCTGCCCTGCATGCCTCGTCATTGTCCCGTTGGCTGACCTAATTCTGAAAATCACTATGCCCTTCCTTAGGTCCTCAGAACACTCTTAAATCTAAGGTAGCCAAAAACTGTGTTCTTATATACCTGCACATATTCTCCTCCACTGATACTCACATCTCTCAGGACCCAAGTGTTTTATGAATGAACAGCACCCAGATTGGTCTGTGATACCTTCACAGGTATCCTTCAAGTGCTGACCTCAAGTGTATGCTCAAAGGATGATAAATTCATACCAGTGAGCTCAGCAACACCTCAAAGATTAACAAGAAATTTATTCTAGTATAAATTTTTTGTGGACTAGAGCCCACTTCTTCAGTTGTAATGTGCATGTCTCTTCACTAGGCAGACCTTTCATATTAAAAAAACCAAAAAAAACAGCTGGGTTCACAGGCCATGAAATACACAAAGCACAAGGTGAAAAGTAAATACATAAAATTTGTATCTAAACAAGAGACTATTCACTAGTTCTGCTAAACTGCATAGTATCAGTAATGGGTGGGGAGTCTCAAGCTTTGCTAAAATAGGTAGCACCTAAGGTGACCAAGAAATCCCAAGTCCTTGCTCAGCCTTGTAGGTGTCGAAACGTTTTAATAAATTCAACACTTTAATGCACAATCCAACCTTTGCAAATCTGCTGCGACATGGTGATTTTAGGTCAACAATGCAATATCTGGATATTGCACAATCCAATACAAAGTTAAATCACCTTAAGACAACTGTGGCCTGATCATGCATTAGCTCAACTAGGAACTACAGCCAGTCCTGGATCCCTACCATATGATCCACATGCTTGTAAAAACATATCATTCATATTCACATATTACACTGTGGGTAATACACTTAATATCATCTGAAGTGTAAATTGCCTTCAGACACAACTTTCACTGCACAAAAGAGATTGGAGAATATACATTACTCACTTGGTTTCCAGTCCTAAGGATATGTCATTGGAAATAAGCCCCACTGAAATCAATAAGACTATCTTCACAGTAAATATACTAAGGTCAGGATGTAAATTTAAACTTCCATTTAAACTAGTATCAAAGCTCTCTAATTGTTACAAACAGTTTTTGTTTCACACTAATGAGTAAGTTTATGAAGTGAATTCATGAAGAGGCAATCTTAACAGACAGGCCTCTGGCAGAACAACTTCACTATTGAACCCAAGTATGTTATCATTTTTAGGATGTAGAAGGCAGTCTAACACATATGCACACCAATGCAACAGGCTATGTATACTACACATCTACTAGAAAGCCAGAAGAAGACAACACACATATCTATAAATAAGTTTCTTAAAGCCACTCTAATGCTTCTCCTTGGAAGTAAGTTACACCACATTCAGAGAGATTTACTCCTAGGACTACTGCTTTATATATCCACTAAGAATAAGGCCCGTTGTGGAAATGAATACAAGAAGCTCTAGCAAGAGGGTCTGGGTGAGTGCACCGGCCTTGGGTACCCAGCATCAATCTGCTGTGGTGACCTCAGCATGGTATAATGACACAGAGTTCACCGTTTTCTCCAGGGGAACTGATCTCTTTTACCTGAAGAGTAGTTGTAATTCTGAGTGATCTCCAGCCCTCACCTGGAGACTGGCAACAATGGTTCCCCAGGAGGAAATGGTTGGTTTGGAGGGTGACATCTATGGCATTGCAAACAAACAAGACAGAGGTAATGCTAATTAGGAAATCTGATGATTTGGAGGGACAGAATCCACTTGCTTTGGACAGAACGGAGCTATCATTTGAAAAGCATTTTAAGATCCTGTGAGTGTGCATGGACCCCCTTTTCTGTTTGAAAATCAGGTTGGCACAGTGGTCAAAAGTGATTTCTATCAGCTGTACCTGGTTTGTCAATGGTACTACTAAAGACAACTGATCTGGCCATGTTAATCCATAATTTTGCAACCTCACACTTTTACTACCGGAATGTGCCCTATATGGGGCTGCCTCTGAGGACAACCCCAAAATTGCAACTGCTCCAGAATGTGGCAGCCCAACTATTACCGGGAATACCTGCTGTGAACACATCTTGCCTATTTTTAAATAGCTATATTGGCTGCCAGTTTGTTTCTAAGTTCAATTCAAGTCCTAGGATCCACATATCTTAAGGACTGAGGGTGTAACTACACAATATCCTGACACATATCAGACTCACAGTCAAGACGTACATCAAGCACTTGTTCACTCAGTGCTGCAAGGGGAGGAGGAGGAGCTTCTCTCACCCTGCTTTAGCTAGCAGAAAGGAGGGGGGGCTTTTCTCCCATTTTCTGGCTCCACGTGTCCTTCTTAGGGCACCTGGACAGAGCCTCCTTCTCCGCTCTTGCAGCACCAAGCTAATGAGAGCTCTTTAAGGTGAATTTGCCTGATGCTATGTCTGACTGTAAGTCCAGTAATGCACTCGTGACCCAGCATGTGTGAGGTTTTATCGTTTTACTTCTGGATTTATTTTAGAATTTTAATCCATCTCGTATAACAAGGAAAAGGAGAATATAAGCATAATCAGTAAAATACAAGTGAAACAAAATGTACCAAGAAGAATTGCGGTCATGGTCTTCTTCCCCAAACTGGAAAAATCACTCATCTCATAATGCCCCTTTATAGAACTGGCGCCTGCTGACTTTGTCAATTTGCCTTTGTCAATTTCCATTCATTTTTTGGATGGGGAGCACCCTTACATCTCACTGGTCCCAATGGAGACCTAAAGCACATGGTGACATATTTACCTTTCTTATTGACATAGAAGGAATGTGCTTAAAAAGACTGGCGCTTAGTAAACTTCTCCATGGACTGATGTGTTCAGTACCTTTATAAAGCTTGATTCTTTAACAAAGTATAAATATATTAGGTAAACATTAGACATATCCTTGCTTGTGGACACATTTAAAGGAACTTCTTTTGTTATATAATAAAAGGCTCACAACACCTGAAAATTATAGCACAAAATACATTACATAACACAAAGAAGCTACCTAGAAAACAAAGTTTTCAAAAGATCTTGCACCACTAACACAAGCTTATGTAACATGGTGTTATTGAGATTTTATTTGTTTCTAGGATCCATTTCAACTACTTCTCAGGTAATGAAATGTGATGCAAAGTCAAATGCCTCTTGACAAGGCCATTTCCTGGTAATTAGATGCAAGTCTGTTCCGATAAGAGTGCTCTCTCTCTCTGAACAGTGTTTCCAAGCAGATTTGCCCCCTATTGCTCAATGCCAGACAAAGCATTTCAAGCACTATTGACAAGCGCCTGGGTAACCCCAGTGAAAACAGAATAGGCTGCACACTTACCTTTATCCCCTGCTGCTGAGTGGTTAAGGTCAATTTGGATTCATCCAGAAGCAGAACTTCACAATAGAACTCCTCCGGGACTGCACAAAAACAGCCCATGGCTGTTTCTGTGCTTTGATGTCTGAAGGCAAATGGGAATAAGAGATGAAGGCAAGTTCAAGCCCAGGAATAAGGGAAATCCAGAGAGTGCTTAACACAGCACTGGCAAACAATTTATTTGGCTCAGCAACCCAGATCAAATAAGGTGAACAGAGCACATTATTCTTTGACCTTCTGAAGTTGTGGCTCCAGCTGTTAATAATGTATTGGGCTAAACAATACAGGAATAATCCTCTTCAGACATCTAGCAAAATAGATTGAACTTCTCTCTTTCGATGCCCTGAAGGTGAAGAGAAAAAAGGTGAAAAAATAAATTAGTTGCCTGACAATACAAATCCTCATTTAACATCAAGGTATTCACATTATACTTAGTTCTTTCAGGCACTGACTGCGAGGGTCACAAGGCAAACACCTTGGAGTCTTCTGGGATTCACTGTTCAGCCATAAGAAACCACTGACTTTTGGATCCCAGAATTCCCTTAAATGCAAGGCAAAACTCCCTTCCAAACAGTGCAATCCCATCACAGGCAGAAATATAATATCACTCAAGGCCTACACAGTGAATCAGACTTCGGCCCAGAAGAACTCGAGAAACAGTAGGAATGGGCGCCCATGCTACATTTCCTGCTCCTCAGCATACAGGCTGCTCACCCCCACCCTGCCTTGAACGGGTAGACCAAGCATTTTTCTTGGATTAATGATTTATTCCCCCTCCGCTTCCCTCGCTGGGGAGTGCTCTTTTGTGTCCAAAGAGGATCAGGAAGGCACTGGGGCAAATAGAAGCCATTCCCACCATCGTCTGAAGGAAAAGGCCTCCAATTAAGTACCTACACCGGGTGAATGAAGTCAAGCGGACCCCTCTCTCGGCGGGGCGAACGGTGCTCCTCCACTCACCCGGCGCGTCGCCTTCCTCCTTCCCCCCGCGAAGCCAAGAGGGCAAAGGAGCGCAGCTCTCGGAGAGGCTTTCCCTCGAGCCGCTCCAGCACGCCTTCCTCCGCTCGGGGAAACGCAGGGCTCCTTTCACGCCCCAAAAGTTCCCAGCAAACGGCCTCGAGAGCGAGGTTGGCGCCAAACGCACCAGACGCGCCACCTGCCCCGACGGAGGCGCAGCGAATGCTCAGTGTCTAGTCCCGCAGGAGAAGCCGAGCGGCCGAGAGAGCAGCATCGCCCCTTTGCCTGGCGCGCCCTCGCGGCTGAGGTGAGGCTCCGCTGCCCGGCTCTCTGTCACCGGCATGTCCGAGGACGGAGGCAGCAACTGGGAGCGCTAACGCAAGGAAGAGCTCCGAGACCTGCGGCGGGCAGAGTCGCTCTGGTGGTCGCCGTCGCGCGCTAGTCCAAGAACCGCCTGTGAGCAAAGTCTCGGATGAGCTACTGCGTCGCTTTCGTGGCGCGGCTACTCCCTGCCCAGCTGCTGGGCACGTCCGCCGGGTCCCTGTGTAGCTCTGCTGCCCCACCAGCCTGCGTCGCCTCCCTTCCTTTCCCTCCTCCCTTCTGCTCCTGCCAACCTTTCACCTCCTGCTGCCCTAGCAGCACCGGCTCCGGAGGTAGCACGGCTGCGCTGGCACAGTAGTGACCCCTGCTGGTCGTTTCCTGAGAATTGGACTTTACCGCGACTGGCTAAGAAGGTGGTTCCTGAGTCTACATATTGTTCGCTGAAAGCCCCTTTGGACGGTTGTGGGGGCTATTTTGTTATTGTTGTTGTTTGGTTCGGTTGTTGTTTCGTTGGTTGGTATTTAATGGAGACATGTCATGCAGTAGACGTTTCCTCTTAAAGAAGCACTTTTAGAAAACGTGTAAATGAGGCTAAGTCCAAGCTTTTAACATTAGTCGTTTGCCTTCCACCTCTGTAAGGTTTGAGCGGAGGAATTTGAGTATTTACATACTCTTATAGGAACGTTCCCTACCCCTGCTTTATGGAAATGAATGCGATTTCTGCAAGGATGTATTGAGGTTAACTGGTGTGGTGAGTTCAGTCACCATTAGTTAGTAGAGTGCTTAAATAAAGCTACAAACCCAGGAGCATAACTCTACCAGGTTACTCACCTTACAAAGCTACACAGAGCCATATTGCAAGTTCAGAAGAGAAATACTTCTCTCTATTTGAGAAGCACACTTTGGATAGGAAAGAGCAGAGATTGATAGATTACTAGAGAGGCTCATCTACCTCATGGTGTCAAGAGAGGACCGCATGTCCCTCTCTTGAGCCTGTAGGTAGAGAGCAAGCCTTCATTCAGAGTGAGAGAGAAGCAGGAAAGGGAAATTGATCCCTGAGAACACAATCTGCATATCAAAGAGAACAGTGGCAGAAGAGTAGATACAGGAAGAAAGGTCAGTTTGCCTGTCTAGCTATCTAGTCTCTCTTGCCACTCAGTCTGGAGGTCTGAGACAGGGGACATCGCATCTGGAACGTCCAACAGGATGCATTTCATTCTAGCTTATGCCTGGGAAATGGGTTGGTAAATTTTTCAGAGTTCCATTGAGGAGTTAAGCATGTTCTTAAAGTTTCTCATTTAAACTAATGGGGCTTCATTGGTCTTAATGCTTTATGGGTAGTGCAGCTTTTAGGTTTGCAGCCGTTGGCCCCGTTACACTGGGGGGAAAGACACGGCCAAAGTGCGGCTTTTTTGAGCCGCATCAAAAGAGACGCGCTGCGGCAGGATCAGACAGATTCCCCGAGCCGCCACATAGTTGCTCCCCGGCATGATCAGATGCCGGGGGAAAGCCACGGAACGGAGAGCGAGGCAGCCCGCTGTGCATGTGCGCACCTGCGCAGTTTGGCCAGGGGCCTTGCATGCTGCCGGAGACAGGTGCGCCGGCAATCCCATGGCTGCCCTTGATGCAGATTTTCAGGTAGGTAGTAGTGTTTTCTAGGGGGGGTTGATGCGCGGTTTCAGCCGAAAGGAATGGATCAGGGACAGGTGCGCTCCACTTCCCAGATGTTGCGGTGTGATCACGCCCATTTGATGTGCCCCCGATCCGTCCCTCTTGCGGGGCAAATCCTCCCGTGTGACCAGGACCTTAGTGGAAATTAAAAACTCTGTTAGAAATGAATCCTCACAGTCAGTTGGTATCATAACAAAGTTCGAGCCCAAGGGAACCTTTAAGACCAACAAAGTTTTATTTGAAGTACAAGTATGTATGGACTGGTACCTCTCTCTTATATTTTTTAACTGTTTATTTATATGTTTTCCATATATATATAAACAAACACATGTCATCATAAGTTTAATACATAATGACTCTATCTTTCTAGCTCATAATTTATCCATTTATACACTCTCGACCATCTTTTCGTATATATTTCTTCATCCTTGCCTTGCATTAAAATACTCAGCTTGTTCATTTCTGCTAAATTCAACAATCTATAAGTTAATTCTTACCAATTCTCTGATTTCCAATATTTCGCCAACAAAATTCTAGCTGATGTTATTATCAGTATCATTAAATGCATATCATGATGGTGAACATCATCCGGAATCTAAATAGCATTCTGGATCTAACCTTAGATTTACATTGACAATTTCCAAAATTATTTTCTGTACTTTTCGCCAGTATTTTTGTATTTTTACACAATGCCACCACATGTGATAGAACGTACATACATTTACTTTGCATTTCCAACATTTGTTTGAGCAAGTTTTATAACATTTTGCTATTTTTTCTGGAAGCCAATACCATCTATGAAACATCTTGAAAATATTTTCTTTATATGAAATGGCCCTCATAAGTTTAGTTGTTTTCTTCTGTAATTTTATTTTTCATTTTTCTTTAACAGAACTAAGATAAAAAAATAATATTTGAAAAAAGATTATACATTACACAATGTAAAATTCATCTTTTGCTAATATATCACATATCTTATACTAGCATATTAATTCTTTATTACGGTATCTAATTTTTCTATTTTCAGCCAGTCATATACTATTCCCCATCTATCCCAAAAAGACTTTTCTGGTTTATTTTGTAAATTAATATTTAGTTTATCCATTTCTGCTACCTCTAGGATTTTATATTTCAATTCTCTTATAGAGGGTAAATTTTCTGATTTCCATCTCTTCGCTATGAGTATTCTAGCTGCTGTCAGTATATACACTATTATATGTACATGTTCTTTTAATGTATCCGGTAACATATTAAGTAGACATATTTCCGGTGCTAGTGGTTTATTGATTTTTAAGACCCTTAAAAATATTTTTTGGATTTTTTGCCAGAAACTCCGAATTTTGGCGCAGCTCCACCATATGTGGAGATATGAGCCTGTATTCCTTCTACACCTCCAACATATATTTGACGCCTTTGGGAAACATCTTGCGATTTTTACCGGTGTCCAATGCCACCTATAAAGCATTTTATAAATGTTTTCCTTATATGGAGTTGCCCTCATATATTTTATTGTTTTCCAAGTTTTTGTCCATTGCTCTTTTTCAATTATATGGCCAATCTCTTTTACCCAAGCTAGCATGTATGGTTTTATTGTCTCTTCTTGTAAGAAATCCTCCATCAGTTTTTTATAGAATTTCTGAATTAATTTATCGCTTGACGAAAGCCAAATCTTGTCAATCTTGTTTAAACTAGAATAAAGTTCTATTTTTTTGTCTTTGTTATATCTTGCTTTTAGTACATTTTTTTCCCTCCAAGATAAATTTATATTCTGTCATAGTAGTGTCTCCTCAGACTTCAACTCTCTTTTTTCATTTAGTAAATTACCATAACTTTGTTTACTTTTCCCCAGTGTTATTGATGGTTTAGCAAAAGCCTCTAACGGGGATACCCACATAGGGACTTTAGTATAGTTTGTTTTTTACTATATTCCAAACTTTAATAAGAGATCTTCTAATTATATGTGTATGGAAATTCGAATGGATTTTGTCCTTCCCATACCATAAATAAGCGTGCCAACCCATTGCTAAATCAAATCCCTCTAGCGCTAATATTCTTGTATCTTCTAGTAATACCCATTCCTTGATCCATGTCATGAGAGCTGGAAAGTAATATGCTTGCCAATTTGGCATATCAAAGCCTCCCGTCTTTTTATTTCCTTGAAGATCTTTAATTTTAATCCTTGGTTTTTTGGATTGCCATATGAATTTTCCTACAGTTCTCTCCAGGTCTTTGAAGTATTGATGTTTGTTAACTATTGGTAGATTTTGGGCCAGAAAAAGAAATCTTGGTAATATATTCATTTTAACCGTTGCTATTCTACCTAGTAACGAAAGGTGTATTTTAGCCAACGTTTTAAGTCTTCCTTTATGTCTTTTAAGAGATGTAGGTAATTGTCTTTATATAGGGTTGCTGATAAGTTTAGTTGTTTTCCATATTTTTGACCAAGCGTCTATATCTAAATTGTGGCCTATATCCCTCATCCAAGAAATCATCGAAGACTTTACTTCATCTTGCATGTAATCCTCTAATAGAAATGTATACAGTTTCTGAATCATTTTATCATTTGAGGAAAGCCAAATCTTATCCAGTTGATTTTTATTGCTTTCAAATTCATGTAACTTATCTTTACTGTAACTAGACTTTAGTTGTAGATATTGCCACCAGGATAATTGAATATTGTGTTGCAATAAGAGATTTTCTTCTGTTTTTAATTCATTGTTCTTTTCTAATAATACTTCATAGCTTTCTCTGTTACATTTTGTAATTAGTGATGGTTTTACAAAAGCCTCTAACAGTGAAACCCATTTTGGAATTTTTATGTAGTGTCTCTCTTTTATACTATTCCAGGTTTTTGCTAACGCGCCCCTTATTATATGGTGTTGGAAGTTGGAATTAATTTTATCCCCGTACCGGTTGTAAGCATGCCATCCCATACATAGATCATGCCCTTCTAACTTCAAACTTC